AATTTACCATACAACCCAACAATTCTATTTCTATGTATCTGCCCAAGGGAAATGAAAACACAAATTTCACACAAAGACTTGTATACAATCATTCACATCAAGATAACTCATAATAGCCAGAAAGTGGGAACCATCTAACATTCATTGTGTCGACAGGATAAACAAAATGGGTATATACATAAATGTGCTACCATTTAGCAACAAAACAATTATTAATACTTGCTACAACATGGATGATCCTCAAAAATGGATGATCTACTAGGAGAAAAGAATCCAGGTGCAAAAGACTATATACTGTATAATTCTATTTATCTGAAGCATCCAGAAAAGGCAAGTTTGTAGAATTATGAAGCTACTTAGTGTTTGGCCAGAGATAGAGGTGGGAAGAGAGATTAACTGAAAAGGAGCACACAGGATTTCTCAGGGCGATGGAGATGTTCTAAAACTTGGTAGTGTTGAGAGTTGCACAGCTGTGCACTTACTAAAAATCAGTGAATAACTGAAGTAAATTTTATGGAACATGGATTACACCTCAATAAAAACTTTTACACACACACACACACACACACACACACACACACACACACCGTGTTTTCCCTGTAACTCAAAGAACAAAGTTCTAAATTCTTTAGCATGGTAGGAAGACCCTCTTAGGCCCCTTCCTTTTCCCCATCTAAGGGCCTTCACTTCCCCAACACAGTGATACAGTAGCTGTTCTCCTCCCCACACCATGCAGCACTGTTTCATTCTTATGTGCTCTTCACACCCCCAAAACCACAGCCCCTTTATCCAATGAACTACTAGTCCTACAAGACCCAGCTAAATGAAACTTCTTTTCTGAAGTAGCCTCTAAATTGTCTCAGTCAGAATGAGTTCCCTCCTCATTGGGTTCCCATAGTATCTATAGTGTGTGTGTGTGTGTGTGTGTGTGTGTGCGCGCACACCACTGAAATAAACACACAACATGAGAGCTGTGAGTTTCAATTTTATTTAGGGACTTACTGAAGAGTATAACCCAGGAGACTGCCTCTCAGCTCTGAGGAACCAAAGAGGTAAGGTGACAGGTCAGTATACATGTGGTATTCTGGAAGGGAGATGTAACCAAGCAAACCTCCTTGGTAAAAGGTTGCTGCTAGTCAAGAAAAACAGACAGCTTAATGGTTGTAGCGCTTTTCTAAGTATAGGAAAATGCATTTAATCCTCTCAAAAAACTGCTGAATAGGTGCTCCGTGCTCACAATATCTCTATTTTATTGATGAGTCAGTTAAGACACTTGAGTAAAGTCACAACAAAGTCTGGGTATTTCCAGTACTGTGCTTGTCCTTCCAACTTACCATACCCTCAAGGTGGAGGACTTTCTAGGACAATATGCAGCCCGGAGAAGGAAATGGCAACCCACTCCAGTATTCTTGCCTGGAGAATCCAAAGGACAGAGGAGCCTGGTGGGCTGCCGTCTATGGGGTCGCACAGAGTCGGACACGACTGAAGCGACTTAGCAGCAGCAGCCTCTCAAGCCGAGTGTCCAGCAAATCCTGTCTCAGCTTCCAGGGCAGACTACCAGGAGTCTGGGGATCTGGAGAGGGCCCCGCCCACTGCGTCACTGGTGACGCCATCACGCAGGGTCGAGGCGGTGCCGCCGCGTCCTTTAAATAAGGCCTTCCCAGGGAGCGCGCGGGCGAGAGAGGAGTCGGGTGGAGGATGTGTTTTTGTTCCGGGGGGTTCGCGGTCTGGGCCAGAGCCGCCGCGGACCACGAGGTGGGCGGCAAGGCAGTTTTGTGACGGAGAAGCGGTGGGGAGGGCGCGCTCGTGAGAGTCGGGAGGCGGGAACATGGCGGCCCGTTGGCCGTGCCGGGACCCTGAACAGCTGGTGCTAGCGCAGACCTGTTCTCCGGCTTTGCTGGCCGTTTTCTTACCTCCCTGGAACCTTGCTTCTCCTTTGGTTCCCTTTCCCTCAGCCTTCCTTGTGTCTTCCTCGGCTCTCTCGCCCCAGCCTCTCTCCGGGCAAAAGTGTGGAAGGTGGGTTCAGTAGGAACAGGTGAGGCCCGTCCGTTACTGAGAGAGAGACTCTAGTATTTGACTGCGTTGCCCACAAACTCTTTATCTGGACGCACAGGATGACAGGAGACGCACTGAGCTTGGAGTGTTGATGTTCAGACCAGATTTGTAGTGCTAGTGATTCCTCTTCGTGATCCCGTTAAATGCCACTTAGGTTATCTAGACCTCAGTCTCCGCAAAAGTGAGGTTCTGTTTGAAAGATTCTTGGTATACAGAGCTTCTGTCCTAAGTCGCTCGCCAGAATTTGCCCCATAATTATCGTTGGGAAGGTGGAAGCATGATTTCTTTTGGCAGTAAGGGAGTCGGGGCAGGAGGCTGAGTGAAGATATACATCCCGTGCCCTAACGGGATTTAGTATATGAGCAGTGAGAATGCCATTGTGTTTCCTTCTTATTTCGCGAAGTTCTTGGAATAAGTTAAATGGAGAAGGACTGATCCCGTGTCAGCTTCGCGGTTCTGCCTCAAAGACCTTGGAAAATAGTCATCTGTCTGCCTTTTTTTTTTTAAGTGTCTATGTCGGGTAAGGGTAGGTGTTAGGAACAGGTTCTTGCCTCATCTGAGTTAACAGTATCTGGCCTGCCAGTCACCTGATTTTGTTCTTGATCTTTGGTTTTTCCTCAGTTGAGTGCAAATTCTGGAGAAATCCTCTTCTTTTAAGAGCCTGCAGTGCCAGGCAGCAGAATTGTGAACTAGAGTGAAGGAGAAATCTAGGAATATGAACTCCATGATGGCCATGGGTGAACCAAGGTTGAACTGGTGAGTTACATCTGTTTGTAATCCCCTAAAGTAGACTGAGGGGCTTTCCAGAATTCGCCTACCAACTTAGGAGACACAGGTGCAGTCCCTGGGTCAGGAAGATTCCCTGGAGAAGGAAATGGCAACCTGCTCCAGTATTCTTACCTGGAAAATGCCAGGGACAGAGGAGATTGGCAGGCTGCAGTCCATGGGGGTCTTGAAGAGTCGGATACAACTGAGGGACTGACTAGGCACCTATGCAACGAGATTGAAGTGGGTCTGGTGACTAGTTTAGGAACGGAGGGTATCTGACCTGAAGAGATCTGGAGGAAACAAGAGGATAAGTTTCATAGCTTAAGAGTTTACAATTTTCATCCACACCTACGGAGCAGTTTTGAGTTACCTTTGACTGTACTTCCTCTCCTAAAGTGATGACATTTCAGCACTTAGATTTCATCTGTGTATAAGTCCATCCTGTATTTATTGTTGGTCTTAGTGAAGGAGAGATACTGGAATATTCTTGTATTCAAGAACCTAGCCCATATCTGTACAAGGACTAGATCTTTAAGAATTGACAAGCTTTTTTTTAAAATATTGGAATCTATATCAAGTGATAATGTAAATGCATAGACTATTTTAGAAATGTATGAGACCATCCCAAATAAAGGACTCTATTAAGTAATATAGTGGCAATAGAAATCTAATGTATGTGCTGCTGTAGGTCAATTTGACACACATTTACTGAACATCTATACTAGTGAAGGAGTTTGCTAGCAGAGGAGAATATAAAAGTTACAAGAGATAACAATGATAGCTAAGATAGCACCTGACTCAAAGATTCAATCAGTATGTATGCTAGTATAATGTAGATGATGATATTGTGTATAATGATGTAATATTCATATTACTTCACTAGCAATCATATTACAATATAGAAATGTTATCGAAGTAACATGTTATACACCTTCAATTTACAAAGTGTAAAATGTCAGATTTATCAGATAAAATCAGTATATGCTTAATAAGTACATGCTTATTGCAAAGAGTGCTCCCTTACTCCAAGGAGCTCACAATCCCTGGGCCTGTGACTTTGTTTTTTAATGAGATGTCACAAATACATTGCAAGTAATAAGAAACTACCCTGGTGTATAGCAAATAAGACTTTTTAATTTTATTGTTTGTACATTAATCATTGTTTTTTAGATAAACACCTTTAAAAATAGAAATGAATATGGGGCAAATATGCTAGGATTTCCCATTTTAGGAATGGCCAGCTGCAGGTGCTATTTGATTAGATTGTTCTGTTGTAAGTTCCTAGAGATATGGTCATTTATGCTTCTTGCTATAAAGAATGTGTTCAAATGCAACACAGATGCTGTTCTATACCGTTGATATTGTGAAACCAAGTGTGGTTCAGGGCCTTTGCATTGCCTTTGCAATGTATTTTAGACCTTGGAACTGTTCTTTTCTATAGAATCCTACTAATTTTTGTCCTCCCTAGATTAATGGGTGTCAGTGTATTTAATTTTTAAAATGTTTCCTTAAACCAGCATTTATTTGACATTAACTAGATGGAAAGCCTTGACTACAGTATGTTAGTCTGTAAGTTAATTACAGTATGGAAAATCGTATATGACCTTACAAGTGGTTTTAGCAGAGGCACACTATTGATCACATTTGCCAAGTAAACAAAAATAATTGGATAATCAGTCTTTGTAGTGTTTTTTGGCTGAGCACAATAGTGAATGAGACGAAAATAAGTTGGGAAGCATTTTCTTTGAGCAATCAAACAGCTTAATGTTATGCCACAGAGCCTAAAATGAGTACTAAAGGAAAAAACAAGGCTGATTATTGAAATTGGAGAATTTCAGAATGGGCCTAGCTTAAAAACTATACAAGAAGTAAAACATCTAAACTCACACATCTGGTATGGGAAGTTAAAACGTTAAGAAGTGATTTTCTGGGAAAGGAGAGGTCGGGGACATGTAGTTTTAAATTGCAGTTGTACCATTATGCTTGTTAATCTAGCCTGATATTTCAGTTGTCAAATCCAAGTAAATTACTTTGTTTTTCAGGGATGTTTCACCAAAAAATGGTCTTAAGACGTTTTTTTCTCAAGAAAATTATAAAGATCATTCCATGGCTCCAAGTTTAAAAGAACTATGTATTTTATCTAGCAGGTAATATGCTTATTTATTTGGTTATTTATATACATATTTGATATTTTTCTGATACTTGAAGTTTTATATCTACCTGTCTATATTCACTGTGAAACATTTGAATTATAGGAATGTAAAAATTAGAAAATAGAAGAACTTAGTATCCCCAAAAGACCACTCTTTGGTGCACATATGTAACATCTTTTAAGACCTTTCTCTACACATGAACAGATACATATTAAAAATTAGGGGAGTTCCCTGGATGTCCAGTGATTAGGACTTCATGCTTTCACTGCTGAGGGCCCGGGTCCAATCCCTGGTCAGCGAACAAGCCATGCAGTATGCGGCCCAAAAAAGAGGGATGTAGGTTGGAAATCACACTATAAATACTATAAACACTATAAAACTTTTGCAATTTTTTTTTTTCATTTAACATAATACTTTAGGTATTTTGTGCCCCTATATTATCTCAGTCTTCTTAATGGCTGCATATTACTTTACTATACAGAGATACTTTTAATTCTTTTCACCAGTTTTACATTGTAAAATGTTTGTGCAGTTTTAACAGTAACATTTATAAATTTCTTGTAATTATTTCTATAAGATAAATTTATAGAAATTGAATTATTTGGGCAGATACTATAAACATTTTATATTTTAATAGATACCACCAAATTGCCATAAATTTCATGCCACCAAATTTCTGGTATGAGAATGTGTGTTGTGACAGTAATAATTTCCCCTTCTCACTGCTTACCTGCCTATAACAGCTCTTCTTTCCTTTGTGATTGGCTGCATCTACTCTCTTGTGGGTGAATCTTAAAACTAAGTCATGAAGTTTACTAGAAAGAAATGATAATATGCCAGATGAAGAATTGGGGAGCTCCCCTAGAAGAACTCAATGTTTACTTTCATCTTTTCTCTACTTCTTTTGCAATGGAGGAAACATATTTCCACCCTCTGCATGGAATGGGACCCCATTTTGTCCACTTTTTCAGTGCCCTGTCAATTAGCATCCCCTGTTACTCCCACTTCTCTCTCTCTCTTTTGTTTTTGGGTGGGGGGCTCTTTGGTCAAGTGGCGCAAACTTGAAGGATCTTAGTTTTTCAACCAGGGATCAAACCAGTGCCCCCTACAGTGGAAGCTCAGTCCTAACTGCTAGACCATCAGGGCATTCCCTCTTTCTTCTCGTTCGATCAGTATTTAAGCATGCTCAAGTTTGTCCTGTCTCAATCCCTGAATTTCACCTTCCCTCCTAGGTAGTGTTACCTCTTCTCTCATTTGTACTTAAGACTTCTTTGTACTTGTATATGGTTGCTGGGGGGACATGAGGGACAAAAAAGCTATAAGACCTACAGAAAACAGTTAACAAGGTAGCATTACCAAAAATTACTTTAAATGGATTAAATGCTTCAGCCAAAAGACAGATTTGGAGCATCTATTTGAGAAACAGAATGGGGGGGAAAAAAGAACACCTTCCCTTTACTGCACATCCCATTGCACTTGCTTTCACTGAACATCTCACTATGATCTGTCTCCTACCCTCACTAGGCTGTTAAAACTACTCCTGTAAAGATAATGAGCTATTTTCTATGGAGGTATCTCACTCGCCTCTAATTTTCCTCCTGGTTTTCTGGTGACTGGTATTTCTTAGTGGAATTAACTCATTACTACCACTGATATTCATTTAGGCTGTTTTCATTCCTTTGCTATTAGAAACAGTGAGCATCCTTTCTGTATACTTACTGGTATAAGAATAAGTCCCTATGAGAGGAAGATGTGTGTGTGATTTTAATTTTTATAGATATTGCCAGATTGCCATTAAAAACATTAAACAAGTCCTTTTTTGATTCCAACAGATAAATAGGTAAGTTCAAATAAAGGCAAGCAGAAGTTGTATTAATAAGACATTTTCAGAACTGCTTTAAAGAGGCAGTTTCAGGAGCAACATTTGTTGCCGAAGTGCATGATTATTTTCTTTGCAAGTATCAACTACAAAAGGTTAAGACTATAAATTCCTTATCAGTGTGCATCTATGAATATTTTTCAGAAGCTATTTCTATTATCCAGCTTGTACCTCTTCTTGGAGATAACTAACTTCTTAAAGCTTGTTATCAGTTAAACAATTGCCTTTGTTAATTTGAATCAAAGAATGCCTACCAATATTCATGTCCTGAGATTTAGTGCACATATATCTTTACTCTTAAAAAAAATAAACAAAAAAAACTCACTTTTATTAACTTTTATCTCAGCCTCATCTTTCCAGACTAAAAATTTCCAGTATTAGTCATTCATTCTGCTTCTGCTTCTTAAATATTTTATGATTCTTTGTGAATCTGGTTCTATTCAGCATATCCCAAGTGTGGGTTATAGTCTGAAATATGTAAAGAAGAGGACATATTACTGGAAACTGAGTACACTTAACTCCTAAAATCTTTTTTTCTTATAGTAAGAATGAATTTTCAGACTATATTTAATTACCAGTTTTCTTGATTAAAAAAAAACTAGAAAGAATGTAAATTTATTAGCCCTAATTTTGCAATTTTTTTATGTTCTATAAATAACATATTTGAGAAAATATTAATACCTCTGTTTATGCTACTTCCAATGTGAGGTTTTTAATTCAACCCTTCTCCCTCCACTAAAAGTTAAAAATTTTGCCTTTTAAAAAATTAGTTTCAAAAAAAAAATTAGTTTCTGGTTATAGATATTTATAACTGAGTTTTAAGGCAGCAAAAGGGAAAGTAGCTTCAAATACAAAAAAAAGAAGAAAAAAATTTTTAACATGTTTAATGTACATAAGTAAATCAAATTCAGTGGGTACAGGTAGACTTGAGATGGGAGCTAGAAGCACCATTTCCAAATGCTACTTAAAGAAGCTACCCAAACCAGGAGACTTTAAAGTATAGGAAGCAAAAAGTTTTGAATTCTGCCTTTTTTTCATAGAAACTTAAGGTAAAACAAGAGAGTAGGTAGTTGACAAAATGAAGGAAGAAAACTTCAAACTATCAACTTAAATTAAATATAATGCTGTAAATGTGGATAGAGAAACCCTGTCAGATGCTTTTGGCTTGCTCCCTGATGAAGATTTTGACAGCACTGCACACAGAAATGATCTTGATGCGCTGCCATTTCATTCTTTGCTGAATGTAGCCAATTTAAACTGCTAGAATTTCTTGACATTCCTACTCTGGCATATCTGAGTCAGCATCTTGTTGCTGCAGCAGCTTAATTAAATTTGCCAGTTTGTGCCACAAGGACAGACATGTTCTCATATTCAGAGAGACAGCTGTGAAGCAGTACTGTTAAGAGTTGCGGACACAATACTGTTAGGTATGAATAGCTCTCAAGACATTTTCTAGTGAGAAATCAATTTGCTGTATTACATTTCTCCCAAGATCAGCAGTTAATATTCATTTTGTTAACCTAAAATATGCTTATTTTTTATGCAGTTATTGGAGAAACTTTAGTAGCTAAGTATGTCTTCACCTGTATTTTCAGAGCCAATCTAAGCATCCTTATTTTAATTTCCAATATTCTTTTGCTGTTCACTAACCTGCTCTCTTGATTAGTTTTCCATACAGAGTTTAGTTCTAAAAGAGTAGTCTTGAATATTTTGCTTATTGGGGGGCCTTTTAAGTCTTTTTTTTTTTTTTAAGAATTTTGAAATTTTTACCGTGTTTATTCTAGTATTTTAAAGGTGATCTAAAACACATTAGTGGTAGTTTTAGATGGGGTTTGACTCACCCTTCATCCAGACACAGATATTGGTAATCCTCAGACTTATGAGGCTGAAACTTTCCTACTTTGCATGACAAATGTTAATAAGAAATAAGACACCTCTTTGCTATGAATTAAAATTAATAGATATTAGTCGCCACAGACATAATACTTTAAAATAATGCTTTACATAAATGTGAAATAAAAGGAAAATCATTTTTGTCGTGTACTATAGTAGATGCTACTGCACTAGAAGATTTAATGAAGTAGTCAGATGCACCAGCTGACATGAAAAAAATTGGATTTAAGATAAACTATATCACAAAAAAATCATAAAAATAAAAGTAAAATTTATTGCTGGATAATAATAATAATACAGTAATAATAACAGACCACACTTACTTGTATATGAGAAAGGAAAATTTGAAATGACTTCTGAATGTTGTGCAGGACACTACCACACATTATAAAAATCTAGTGTTCTTGACCTCTAAAGGCCTTCTATTCTTCTGTTTTGGGAAAACCCGGATACATACACAGGCTTCCAGAATGCTCTGAGGGTTAATACTGTTAGATTGAGAATCATTGCTCTGGATATTTCTTTCCCCTCCCCTTTCTTCCTCTTAATCCCTGATTTCCATATCCTTAGGATTCTCCCCAGTCACCTATTCAATATGTTCAGTTTGGAAACCCGAGGTCTCCATAGTCACATTGTATTGATGTACGTATTTACTTCTGTTTCTTCCCCATTCATTTGTCTGATCCACTTAATTATAAAATCCTAGAGAGTAGAGATTACCACACTCAGTGTTGGTTGTATGGCTGTATGTCTACTACCCAGCATAGGGCTGGCACATGGTAGTAGTCACTCAAAATAAATACTAATGAATGGAGGAATGAAGAATGAATCAGCAGACATTCATCCTTTCATGAGTTTCCCTTCCTTTTGGTTATTGTTGTTTAGTTTAGAACCAAATCATAGGGTATGATTACTGTGGTGGAAATTAAAGTTGCAGAGGCTAAGAAAGTGTAGTTTTGTGTGTGTACTTTAAGACTCTTATGGAAAATGTAGATTATAACACTGAATAGCAGTAACAGAGACAGAATACGTACCAGGTAAGAAATTTGTGTTAATGTACCTTACCTGGGATAATAAGGTGATTTTTTTTTTTAATTGGGGGTGGCGTTTCGTAAACAAATACGGTAACAGGTTCTCTAGCTACTCACTACTTTTTCCTCTAGTGCATTTCACTATAGATATGCCAAGATTTCCTGTATTCATACAAGACATTTCGATTGACTCAGCCATGTGCATGAGTGATAGAGGATTATACAACTTTTTTCAAACAACCATTGCTTCCATAGAATATATCCACACAGTGTTCAGACTTTCTTTTTAACTCTAAAATAATAAATGCAGGGGAAACCAGAAAATTTAGAATCTCAATGAATTTCTGAACTGCAAGTTTATGACCTCATCCTATCCTTTTCCTAGTGGCTTTTGTTCACTACATTAACTGATATATCTTATTGAAGAATTTGAGTATTAAAAAGCAACTTGCATTGTAATAAAATGTAAATCCAAAATACCTGCATATATAATTGGTAGGAGTGATTAACTCCTCTTCAGTAAAGGGGAGAAACTTCCAAACTGAATAACTTGTTTAAGAATATGCCTCTTCCTCTCCATCAGATAATTGAAGGTAGACTTGTGATATGATACTATCCTGCAGAATATTTAATTTATACTAAATGGCTAAATATCAAAATGCAGGTGGCAGAGTTAGATAATAATCCAGAATTTAGTCTGTTAATCACTCTATATTCTCCTTGGTGATTGAGAATCATGAAGTTTCATGATAGTAATCTTCTTATGAAAAGCGCATATTTGTAAACTGTATTTTTTTTTGCCAGACGTATAGGAGAAAATTTGAATGCCTCAGCAGGTTCTGTGGGAAATGAGCCGACAGTTAATTCATCAGCTCAAGCAAAGGAAAAAGTTAAAACCACAGTTGGAATGGTTCTTCTTCCAAAACCAAGAGTTCCTTATCCTCGTTTCTCTCGTTTCTCCCAGAGAGAACAGAGAAATTATGTGGATTTATTGGTTAAATATGCAAAAGTCCCTGCAAATTCCAAAACTGTTGGAATAAATAAAAATGACTACTTGCAGTACTTGGTATGTATTCTGTTCTTCAGCTTCCATAAAAAATATTTAAAAGTTAGAAAGTATTTTAAATTTGCTTTTTAGGTACAATAAATATTATTAATAAAAATTAAAAATAAAAGGAATTTAACTGACAGAATAATAATGCTTTAATTCATAGTTAAGGCATTTTGCACTAGTTCTGAGTATGTTTCACCCTAGTTCATGTTAAGTACTGGTAGTAGAACTTTACCTTGAATCACTTTAAAATTTTTGTGTAATTATTACTTGTTTCCAAATTCTCAATTATGTGTTGCTGTGTTGAACATCACTGTTGCAAACTCATTGTTCATATCTGTGATATTTCCTTGAGATAAATTCTTAGAAATATAATTACCAGATGAAAAACTATACATGTTCTTAAGGCTTTGAGCTGCAGTTACACATGAGCAAATCGTTCTGCAGTAATTTTAAACCAGTTTGTATGTACCACTATTGTACAAAGGTTTTTCCAGAATATCTTCACTAATACTGAACATATGGGAAAAAATGGCAATCTTTTGCTTTATATTATAGTGGTTACTAATGAAAATAAGCACTTTGCATGTGTTTATAAGTCATTTCTAATTCTTGTTTTGTAACTTGCCTGTTTATATGTGTGCTTATTTTTCCATTTGAGTGTTTGTCCCTTTTTATGTTAATTCAGAACATTTTATTAAATTAATTTATTAATTTCTGATTATAGTGTTAGTCATCAGCTTTTCTCTTTTTGCAGTTATCTGTTTTGTGATTTCTGCTTTGTAAATGATCAAATTATTAGTGCAGTGATTGAGAAGTGATTGTTTTTAACCAGGTGTCTTATTCCAAGATATGTCTATTTTTTTTTTTTCCAAAATCAGGATATGAAAAAACATGTGAATGAAGAAGTTACAGAATTCCTAAAATTTTTGCAGAATTCTGCAAAGAAATGTGCCCAGGACTATAATATGCTTTCTGACGATGCTCATCTCTTCACAGAGGTAAAGAAAAATCACATTTATTTAAACTGCCAAGTGATAGGCAATAGCAGCATTTTAAAATGTGTGATGATTTTCCAAAAGTATATATTAATGTTATCAAATTAGAGACCAAATTGTATATAGGTCTTTTATTCATCATGTACTTAAGTGATGGAAATACTAGAAATAATAACACCTCAAAATCAGACACTACTTTTAATGATCTAGCTACTGTATTTGAATTGTATTTTACTCATATGGGTGATCTGATGTGATGAACTGATTTGCCTTGTGAGAGAATGGGATTTAAGGAGTTATCTTAGTCCTTAAAAATCTGAATGATCCTTTAGAACTGAGTCATAAATTTGTGTTCACTATCCTCATGGTAAACAGCCACCAGGTGATAAATTTCATCAGATAATTTTTTTTCTTCTTATTATTAAATTATTCATGCAGATTTATTAGCAAAAAAAAAAGCATGTAAATTGCTCTGCCTTGCAACCTCCCATCATTTAGTGGACATAGTAAAAATTTAGAGTTGTAGTATTCATCTAGAAACATCAACCCCAGTCTGAATTATTTTTAAGCCTTTAAAACTAGTCTCTGTACAAATCAATGTGATACTCTTAATAGTATTGAACTCTACACTTAAAAATGGTTAAGATGTAGATTTTAAGGATATTTTACCACTTTTATAAAATAAGCATGTTTATTAACAAAGTACATTATTTGATAGCTAGCAATCAGCTTTAAGTCTTTTTACCCAGATTGACTTAGCAGCACAGTGTCTTGTTACGTTTTACATCTCACCCCAAAGACTCACTGATATTTATCTAATTTTTTATTGTTTTCAAATTTTAATTTTATGCTATGAAATGTAATGTACCTATGGAAAAGTATTTAGAGCAAATATATATAGCTTTCCAACAAATAATTTTATAGTGAACAGCTTTGTGACTCTTCCAAGTCAAGAAATAAAACCATTAACCTGGAAGCCTTCTGTGTTACCCCCCTAAATAATGTTTCCCTTGTTGAAGAAATAATCACTGTGCCAAGTGACTGGTTTGATAATTTCCATGCCTTAAAAAAAATTTTTTTTTGGTCGTTCAGGCTTTCTTTTGTCTGTTTTTAAATTTTATGTGAATTCTTTTTTTTTTTTAATACTTATGTATGTATTTATCTGGCTGTGTTGAGTCTTAGTTGTGGCACATCGGATCTCTGTTGTGTCATGTGGGATCCTTCCTGGCAGGGCATAGACTCTCTAGTTGTGGCACTTAGGCTCCAGAGAGTGCTGATCTCTCTAGTTGCGGCGTGTAGGCTTGGTTTCTCCGTGGCCTGTGGGATCTTATTTCTCTGACTAGGGATCAAACCCACATACCCTGCATTGCAAGGTGTTTTCTTAACCAGTGGACCACCTGGGGAGTCCCCTCTTTTGTACTATGTGGACAGAATTCTTGTTTTACTCAATAGTATGTTAGTGAGTTTCATGTATATGTATATGTGTAGTTGTATTTCATTCATTTTCATTTCTGTACATTATGAATGCACATAAATAGTTTATTCTGCTGATCAAAATTTGGGCTGTTTGTACAGACAGAATAGACTTACGGACTTGGGGAGAGGGGAGGAGAGGGTGAGATGTATGGAAAGAGTAACATGAAACATACATTACCATATGTAAAATAGACAGCCAATGGCAATTTGCTGTATGGCTCAGGAAACTCAAACAGGGGCTCTGTATCAGCCTAGAGGGGTGGGATGGGGAGGGAGATAGGAGGGAAGCTCAAAAGGCAGCCATGGGTATATGTATACCTATGACTGATTCATGTTGTGGTTTGCCAGAATTTGCCAGAAAACAACAACATTCTGTAAAGCAATTATCCTTCAACTAAAAAATAAATAAATTTTTAAAAATTGAGAGTGTTTCTAGATTTGTGCTATTCAAGGTAGTGCCCCTGTGAAAATTGTCATACATGTCTCTTGGTGCACATGTGCACACATTTCTACTGGATATATGATTCGGAATGAAATTGTGGGTATAGAATAGGCACATCTTCAACTTCAATAGATAATGTTAGACTGTTTTCCAAACTGGTTATGCCAGTTTACATTCTACCCATCAGGTTTTGAGAAGTTTTTACTCCATATTCTCAGCAAATTGATACTTAGTCATGTTAGTTTTAATCAAACTAGAGGATGGAGTGCTATGTACAAAAGGCTGTATACGTTTTCACATGTCTTTTAGTCATGTCTTGTGAATTGATTGTTCAGGTTTTTCCCTTTATTCTGTTGGATTTTCCCTTTTTGTTGCTGATCTGTGGGAGTTTTTTGAATATTCTAAATGCAGAAGTTTTATGACTTGTATAGTAGTCCCTCCTTAAACTCAGTTTCACTTACTTTCCTCAGTTTCAGTTATCCACGAGTGGAAAATTGCAGAAATAATTCATCATATGTTGAATTATTGACATATCATTTTGAGTAGCATTGATGAACTCTCTCAGCTTCCTGCTTCAGCCCACCTAGGATGTGAATCATCCTTTTGTCTAGCCTCTCCCACCCATGAGTCTCTTAGTAAACCCCTCGGTTATCAGAAGACAGTTGAGGCGTCAACAGTGCTTATGTTCAAGTCACCCTTACTTAGCTTGATAATAGTCCAGTAGTGCCGGTGTAGTGACGCTGCTGATTTGGGTATGTCACAAGAAGCCACAGAGTGTTTCTTTTAAGTAAAAAGGTAAGTTCTCAACTTAGTAAGGAAAGAACAAAAATCACATGCTGCAGTTGCTAAGATTTACATCAGAAACAAATCTTCTATCCATGAAATTATAATGAAGGAAAATGAAATTTGTGTTCCGTTTTGTTGTCCCACCTCAAATTGCCCAAGTTACATCTGCAGTGCTTAGTTAAGACTGAAGAGACCTTGATTTTGTAAGATATTTTGAGGGCAGAGGCCACATGCACATAACTTATTACAATATCACTATAATTGTTCTGTTTTTATTTTATTGTTTTTAGTCTCTTACTGTGCCTAATTTTTAAGTTAGATTTATCATAGATATATAAATGGATTGAAATGATATTTGGTTTTACCTATGATTTCAGACATCCACTGAGAGTCTTGGAGTATATTCCCCCTGGATAAAGGGAACCACTCTATACATAGGAAGTTTTTTCCCTTACCTGATAAAACAGTTTCTTTTAATCTGCAAGTTACCCCTTCATATTTTTTTTTTCCCTTTAACTGTCTTTTCAAGAACCTGGATCATTTGACCTGTAGACTTTCCTACAGTCTGGATTTTTATAATTATATATTCATAATAATCCTCAGTATGTTTCTCTCTGCTCTGTATTTCTTAGAAATTGTCAGCTGGATCCAAAACTTGATCAGAATTATAGTCTTGCCAAAGGGCTTGAACATATAGATGGTGGTGTATTCTTTAATCAGGTGACACATAATGTCTGATTTTGAGATGTTAGGAGCTATTGAGGTTTAATGCCTGGATTCATTGATTCACTTGGTCTGCAAAATTATAAGATTCTAATTGCATCATTTATTTTTATTCATTAGTTGGAATAATTTTATAAAGATATTTTTCCTCATCTACTGTTTGGCTTCCCATTTCATATAGTAGGAAAAAATGCTAGCTTCTTTATCAGTTTTCAAAAACATAATTGGCCCCATCTTACTTTACAATAGTGATCACTGTTTTTTGAAAAATATTATTGAATAATGAAGATAAGTATATTTGATGGGTTTTAGTCCACTACAATTATCCTTTTTGAAACTCAGATAATACCAGCTTTGAACAGTGATGGGTTCTTCATACTGGCTTTGAGTCACTCTAGTAGTCTTGTACAATATCTGACCAAGCCCTGGAATCAAGAATCTCCTAGAGCCTTAGTTTCTAGTGGTATTTCAAGACTACAGTCTGGGCACTGGGGATGCTCCCTGCACCTAGGGTGATCAGTGTTTCTGAGAACATTTCAGTTTATGGAGATAGGAAAAGTATATTTTAAAGAAAAAAATGGACTTCCCTGGTGGTCCTCTGGCTAAGACTCCATGCTCCCAGTGCAGGGGGCCTGGGTTCAGTCCCTAATGAGGGAACTATATCCCCCATGCCACAACTAAGACCTGGCACAGCCAAATAAATAAAAGTTTTTAAAACTTTTTATTTTGTATTGGCTTATAGCTGATTAACAGCATTGTGATAGTCTCAGGTGAACAGCGAAGGGACTCGGCCTTACATGTACATGTATCCATTCTCCCCCAAACTCCTCTCATCCAGGCTGCCACCTAACATTGAGCAGAGTTCCATGTGCATGTTCTTGTTGGTTGTCCGTTTTAAATAGATCAGTGTGTACATGACCATACCAAACTGCCTAACTGTCCCCTACCCCCCAGCAACCATAAGTTGGTTTTAAGTCTGTGAGTTTCTTTTTGGTTTTTGTTTTTTTGTTTTTTTTTCTTTTTGTTTTTCTTTTTGTTTTTTAAGTAAGTTCATTTTAAGTAAGTTCATCATTTCCTTTTAGATTCCACATATAAGGGATGTCGTATGATATTTCTCCTTCCCTGTCTGACCTGTTTCACTCAGTATAACTCTTTCTAGATCCATCCATGTTGCTGCAGTGGCACTCTTTCATTCTTTTTAATGGATGAGTGATAATAGTCCATCATATATGTGCACCGCATCTTCTTTATCCACTCCTCTGTCAGTGGACGTTTAGGTTGCTTCCATGTCTTGGCTGCTGTAAGCAGTGCTGCAGTGAGCATCGGGGTGCATGTATCCTTTCAAACCGTGCATTTTCTCTGGATATATGCCCAGGAATGTGACTGTAGGGTCATATGATAATCCTGTCTCTCTTTCAAACCAACCTGCATTATTATTTTATATGGGCAATATTTGTCTTCATTTAACTACAAATTTGGACCTTTTTTCTACCTTTCCATCTCCTCTTACTTTTCAAATATACATTCTGAGATCCTCTTCATTATTTCTAAAATGCTTTATGTTCTAGATGTTCCTTTCGTGAAGATCTCCTGGTGGTGAACAGTCTTCTTTTTTGTTTACCCGGAAATATTTTTACTTTGTTCTCATTTTAATAAGATAGTTTAGTCCATACATGGTTCTAAGTTGACAGTTTGTTTTATTTCTCAGTGTTTGATGATAAAATTCTCCTGTTTCTGGCTCATGTATTTTTATTGAAAAATGTATTGTTTAATTGTCAATTTCTTTTAGGGAATCTGTCTTTTCTTTCTGACTGCTCTTTATTTTTGATATATTACAGTTTCATTACAATGTACTTTATAAAAAGAAAATCCTACTTGGTTCATTGTGTCTCTTGTATCTGTATATTTAAATTCATAATCAAGTCTTTAAAATTCTCAGCCATTTTCAATTAATTGCTTCTTTTTAATTTTCTCAAGTCTCATTTTGGGATTCCCAAACCTACTAGGTTTCAGTCTGTCTTATATTTCTCTTTTTTGGTGTGGTAAAATATATAACAAATTTTACCATTTTAACCATTTTTAAGGATCGTTCAGTAGCATTAAATACTTGAACACTGTTGTGAATAGATTTTCATCATTCATTCCCAAACTATTCCATCTTCTCAAACTGAAACTATATTCATTAAAAATAACTTATCATTTGCCCTCCACCCAGTCTCTTACAACCACCATTCTACTTTTTATTTCTATGAATTTAACTTCACTAGGTACCTTATATAAGTGGAGTCATTACAGTGTTTGTCCTTTTGTGTTTGGTTTATTTTACTTAGCATAATGTCTTCAGAATTCAACCATTGTGTAGTTTGTGTGAGAATTTCCTTACCTTTTTAAAAAATTCATTTTAATTATGGTAAAATACAGATAACATTATATTTACTGGCTTAACCATTTTTTAAATGTGCAGTTCTTTAGTATTAAGTACATTCATATTTTTGTATGGCCAATCTCCAGAACTCTTTTCATCATGTAAAACTGAGACTATCCCTGTTTCTGAACTGTTTCTATTCACAACACTTCTGAAACCATTTATGTGGGATTTTTCTCTCATACCAACCGATTCTCCAGCTCTTGAGACACTGAGCTAGGGTTTCCATGACTCACCCCTGCCTTGAGTTCAATAATTAGGTAGAATGGCTTAGAGAATACTTGCTATTTCCAGTTTAATGTAAAGAATACAACTGAGTAACAGCCAAATGGAAGAGAAAGACGCATAACGCAAGTTGTGAGGAAGAGGCATGGAGCTTCCAAGCCCTTTCCAAGCACACTACCCTCCCAGACCTCCGTGTCTTCAACCCAGAGGCTCTCTGGATCCCATTTTTGAAATTGTTGAGGGGGCTTCTATGGAGATTACTTAGTGGCATGCTTGATCAAATCATTGGCTGCTTGTGACTAGCTGCCTCTGGGCCTTTTATCATCTCATTAGCATAAAGAAGACATTCTTATCACTTAGGAGATTCCAAGAGCCTTAGGAGCTATGGGTCAGGAATAAGGAACAAACACAAACTAGTTCTTATTGTATCACACACCATTTACTTTCTGTCTCTAAATTTGTCTGCTATAGATACCCCCATATAAGTGGAATCATAGTATTTGTCTTTTTGTGATTGAGTTACTTTACTTACCATAATGTCTTCAAGATTCATCCAGCTGTAGTGTGTGTCAGAACTTTCTTTCTAAGGCTGAATATTCCATTGTATGTATATGGACATTTTATTTATCTGTTCATCCATTGATGGAAACTTGATTTGCATCTGTTGTGAATACTGCTGCTGTGAATGTGGGTATACAGATATCTGTCAAGATCTCTGCTTCTCAAGCATTAAATGTAGCACTGTCATGTTCAGTTGACTACCTAATCTTAGAACTAGTTGAGACATTTGCTCTCAAGCCTCTTCGTGTATTTCTTACTGCTCACTGCTCCTGTTTTTCCTCATTCCAGGTATTTGGAGTTTGTTTATTTAGTTATGGTTCTTGCTTTTACCAAGCCCAGCAATGCATGAAAATTGTTAGTTGTAACCTAGCCAGCATCTAGTGTTATTTGGATAGGAGTGCTGTTTAAGATACTACTTTAGCATATTGCCAGAAGTAGTGTCTGTTAAGTGTTAAGCTTGAAACATGTATGAAAATGTATTTTCTCTCTCTGGAGCATAGTCATTTTCATCTTTCTTTGTAATGATGTGTACATGTATGTGTTTTTGGTGTTTTTCATTTTCAAGGTATTTTGAGTGTTAAATAATATTCGTGGGTGGGTGATGGGGATCAGCCTGAATCTCTTAACCTCATTTGTTCACTCTTAGTTGTTTTTCCAATGTAAGTAAATTACTAATTAAAATTTTTAAATTAAATATTTTAAATAAGATCTTTTGGTTACTTAATACCTTCCAGCTGTGAAATACCTTTAAAACTATATATCTGAGTATAGGTATAAAACTCATAGATTTACACTGAATTTTTCTCTTGCCATGATTACTGAGTAAACTTACTTAACGAGCACTGTGATATTCAACAGAGTTTTACCAAGAAAGATGTTAAGATAAATATCGAATCAGGATAGTTTGTATGTCACATAGTTCTTATATATTGCTTTCTTTTGCATGTTCAGATTTTTTGTAATGACTACTTTAGGACAGGAATGTTAGGGGTGAAAGTTGACTAATATTATAAATGAGAAGCAAAGATATTATGCAGATATGAGTTTGCAGTTAACTAGGTTTTTTGTGTTGTTGTTAATATTTATTTGGCTGCACCTATCTTAGTTGCAGCATGTAGGATCTAGTTCCCTGACCAGGGATCAAACCTAGACTCCGTGCTTTGGGAGCACATACTCTCAGCCACTGGACCACCAGGGAAATCCCTTGACTCTGGTTGTTAAAAACAAACAGAACTTCCCCATGTTATCCTACATGTGCCTTAATTGCAAGTAGTGTGTGTGTGTGTGTGTGTTAATTGCTCAGTCACGTTCAACTCTTGTGACCCCATGAACTGGAGCCTGTCAGGCTCCTCTGTCCCTAGAATTCTCCAGGGAGAATTCTCCAAGGAGTCGGTAGCCATTCCCTTCTCCAGGAGATCTTCCCAACCCAGGGATCAAACCCAGGTCTCCTGGATTGCAGGCAGATTCTTTACCATCTGAGCCACCAGTGAAGCCCAATTGCAAATAATATCCTGAATTAAATATCATAGTCATTATTAAAAAGCGTAGAATTGAAGGGAAAATTGTGAAAGATAGCAGGGAGAGAGGATTAAAGAAGAGAAGAAGAAATTATGTATGAAAAGGTATTGGAGTAATGATACTGATTTGTAATGACACATTTTATAAATGTCTGAAGGGAAAGGGGATATAAAATATAAAAGTATACTTATTGCTAAAAGCTTTTGTGATATAAACTATATTCTAACAGGTTCAGATTAAAGTTCATTGAGAGAAGAAGGAAAAACACATCCATTTGGCCCTCCATATCTGCATATCTGCCAGTTCTGCCAGTTTATATGGATGGCTGATGGTACTATATACCATTTTATATGAGCCATTTGAGCATCCTCAGATTTTGGTGTTCATGGGCAATTCCATAGATACCAAGAGACACCTGTATCTTAGAAGATAATGTAGTGTGTATGGTTTTACATTACAACTCCCCTACCCCCTCCAAAATTGCTGTGCTTCTTTGAGTTATTTACATGTCATCACAAGTGGCATATATTCTATTTAGGTGAAACAGTGAATTTTCCTTCCTCATTACATTTCCTTGTAAGTCATTAATATTTTGAGAACATTTTGGAGAGAAGAAAATACAAATTAGTTATAACCTTTCTCATTTTGTTTTTAGATTGAAGATTAGAATAACCTGTAAAATAACTACTTCATTAATTCATTGTGCTTGGGACTCTTTTTAGGGTATTAAACTTATTTCTAATCATTCATGTAGCTGATTTTATTGCCACAAAATGTGTTAAAAATTTCATGTCTCTATTTCTTTGACAGTTTCTTAAATAACGTAGAAAATATGTCTTCTCTAACTTTAAATTCTAGGGCTTCCTTGATAGCTCAGTTGTTAAAGAATACGCCTATGATACAGGAGACCCCAGTTCAATTCCTGGATTGGGAAGATCCACTGGAGAAGGGACAGGCTCCCCACTCCAGCATTCTTGGGCTTCCTTTGTGGCTCAGCTGGTAAAGAATCTGCCTGCAATGTGAGAGATCTGGGTTGGATCTCTGGGTTGGGAAGATCCCCTGGAGAAGGGAAAAGCTACCCACTGCAGTATTCTAGCCTGGAGAATTCTAGTACAATTTCTACTTTTAGTATTATTAAACAGCATTTTTTAAAGAAATTAAGCTAAAAAGAATTGTTGTGAAAAATAAGAGTTTGAATCAAATAAAAAATATACAGTATGCCTGAGTTATTAGAAGTTTAGTTAATGAATGAGGCTTATACTTGAAGTAAATAATTATATAGTCATATGTAACTAAATTATTTTTGTTTCATTGTTAGAGAAGTACAATGAAAATGAATTTCTCTTAATTTTTAGCAAATTTTAAAAGCTTGTATTGAACAAGTGAAAAACTATCCAGAATTCTATACTCTCCATGAAGTCACCAGCTTAATGGGATTCTTCCCATTCAGAATAGAGATGGGATTCAAGTTAGAAAAAACTCTTCTCGCATTGGTAAGGTTCGCCATATGAAAATAAAAATAAATATATTTTTGTCTGAAATATCATCTATATTTCACATAGAAACATAATTTAAATATATTTCAGTATTTATGCTTAAATTTTGAGAAGTAGCAAGATGTAATTTTTAAAATATGCAATATAAATGTGTCCCCTTTTATTGTATGGCTACAAGTATTTGATGTTTTAAAAGTTATTACTACCAACTTTATTTCTTGATTTTCTTAGTTTCTATTTTTTTTAATGTTCCTGAATACAAGCAAAAAGCCCCTTTAAAGGATTTTACTCACAATTATATTGGAAGTATGTGTGTGGAGAAGATATCTTCTCTTACACCCAGTTATGACTTGTACTGAATAAAATGAGAGGTTAGAATTTAAAGTGACAGAGAAAATTCCATGGCATCATTATCTTGGATCCTTTTTTTAAAAACACATATATGGTGATTGTTAAGTAAAAACATGAAAATCTTGTCTTAAGAAGGCTCTAAATTTGATAATTTGCATTTAGTAGAATGAAGAATTTTAAGTTTAATGAAAAGATACTTCAGGAAAAAATACAAGATTTCTCTATAAAACATTCATTTTTTTCTTATTTAGGGAAGTGTAAAATATGTGAAAACAGTATTTCCCTCAATGCCTGCAAAGTTGCAGCTGTCAAAAGATACCATACCAGCCGTTGAAACACCAGAACAAATAGCTGCAGCTATGCATTATGTAAGTAGTAAGATGGTTTTGGATCTTCCTTAAAACTTTATGAGGTAATCTTCTTTACCTCATAAAGTACATGTAAACTGATTGTTTTAAAGTACCCTTAATTTCTCCTTTCTCATGACTTAGTCAAAGTTTCCAATAAGTATAATCAAGTAACAAGTTTTATGTTGTTTTTCAGGACATTAGTAAAGACCCAAATGCAGAGAAGCTTGTTGCAAGATACCACCCTCAGATAGCTTTAACTAGTCAATCATTATTTACCTTATTAAATAATCATGGACCAAGCTACAAGGAACAGTGGGAAATTCCAGTGTGTATTCAAGTAATACCTGTTGCAGGTGTGTGATTTGCCATGTCAAGTAACGCTCTCAAAAGAGTTCAAACAGTTCTCTTTCAGCTCTCTAAATACAGGTGGTCATTTGTCAAATACAGAAAGCTTAAGTTTTGATTTAAGGAGGATGTATACTTGACAATTATGTTCAGGAGAACTTTTAAATATATAGTGCTGCTCTAGAATTGACTCTCATAAGTGAGTTATTAGATCTACAGGACCTGTATGCATGCTAGGTTTGTGAGAAGTAGAAAAGAAATTATAGTTTAGGGTGGCCAGAAACATATGAAATGGGAAAGATTGTTCTTTCACTGAAATAAAAGGAATGTAATATTTTATTAGACAGCCTCAAATGGATTAGTTTCCAGGGCTTGTTTACCTCCCTATTATTGGAATTCAGATTTAAAGTAAGTCTATACTTATAAACGTAAGATCATTTCTCTCTTGACGGTAAAATCAGTATTTGAACATGAATTCTGTATAAAATATTATTTCCCTTCTGTTTTTGTTCATATTTAATAGATTTTTGTATCTTCTAGAATTAATATTCTTATATGTAATAGCACAGTTCTAGTAAATGAAGGACTATGTCTAAAAATAAAACTACAAATTAGGGTTAAATATGGTATATTCTCTGATAACCATTTTATCACTTTTTGAAAGTATAACTCAAGCGTAACTGAGTAATAATGACAGTAAAAGCATAATATTGATAATAAACAACAGAAAATCCTCTAAAAACTTGTTAGAAACAGAACATATTTTTTTGCCAGTAATAATCTCTTGCCCTTAGATCTCTAAGAGTCTTTACATTTCTTCATGTTCAAGGCACATGTATGGGACATATGCTTCCACTTTCCTATCCTGTGTCTCTTTGTTTAGTAATTCTTCTGTTGTACATCCTATATTGTTTTATTTTTATATGACTACTACAAACTAATCCCTCCTATTCTTTTTCTGTTTTAAGGTTCAAAACCAGTTAAAGTAATTTATATTAATTCACCACTTCCCCAAAAGAAAATGACAATGAGAGAGAGAAATCAAATCTTCCATGAAGTTCCCTTAAAATTCATGATGTCCAAAAATACATCTGTTCCAGTGTCTGCAGTATTTATGGACAAGCCAGAAGAATATATATCTGAAATGGATGTATGTAACACTTCCTTTTTTTTTACCTTAAGAGAATGTATTTGTTTATCCTTTTAAAGTGTAATGTTTTACTACAAGTCTCTTAATCTGGTAATTAAAAATATAAACATTAGATTAAAACTTAAAATTGAACCCCTGGTGGATCTAGACTTTAGACAGCTAATTTAACCTCCTTCAGCCTCAGTTTTCTTCTGTTATGGAAGAAGGATGATAATATCTGCTTCATAAAATTACTGTCAGGATTAAATTTGATACTTACACATAAAATGTTGAGCACAGTCTTTAGTAGTATTTATATACTAAGAACTCAGTAATGGTGGTCATTGTGGTAATGGTTTTATTTAATTGGTTTCATTAGTATTCAATAGTTTTTAGGTATGAAAAGGATCAGATGAGTTTGATTGATGCAGAAAGTATTTAGCTGAATTGTTAATCCTTATTAGTGTATACTTACTATCTGTGTGACCTTAGGCAAACTACATAATCTATCTGTGTCTAGTTTGCTGTCTGTAAGATGGATATCATGATAACGTGGGCTTCCCAAGTGACTCAGTGATAAAGAATCTGCCTGCCGCTGCAGGAGACACAGGTTCCATCCCTGAGCAGGAAAGATCCTTTGGAGGAGGAAAATGGCATCCCACTCCAGTATTCTTCCCAGGATAATCCCATGAACAGAAGAGCCTGGCGGGCTACAGCCTATGGTGTCAAAAAAGAATCAGACACAACTGAGCATGTAGGCACACATAATGATAACCTAACTTGTAGAATTATTTGAGATTAAATGAGTTAATGCATCTAAAGCATTTAGAACAGTGCTTGGCATTTCATAAATACTAACCTTTATTATTTTGTGTATTGTAAAATATTTTCCCGTGATTATTAGAGTAAGACATTCTATTTTACAGAACTTTTATTTATCTATCCCACAAATATTTATTGAGCAGATACTATTGCATACACTGAGGATACAACAGTAAATAAAAATGAAGTCTCTTTTTTCTCAGAATTTACATCAGTGTCAGGACACATAATTGAAACAGTATCAAAAACAAATATTAATAAATGCTATTCAGAAAAATGGAGCAGGTTAGGGAAAAGAGATGAGAATAGGATTCATGGTCAGGAATGCTTTTCCAAGGACAGGAAATATGAAAAAGGACTTGAATAAAATGAGAGTGCAAACCAGATTAGAAAATAAAATAGGAAAATGTTGTTCTTATTTACACATAAAGAATTCATACTATTTTAAGAATATTGACCTTTTGTTTTTCATGTTGGCCTATGCATTTTTTGGTTTACTATTTGCCTTTCAATGTTTTTATGATGTGTATGTCATAAAGCACTTCCAACTTTTCTTAAGTTTTTATAGGTTGTTTTCTGTTTTGTTTTATATTTTAAAATCTACTTAAAACTTACATTGGTGTGAGATGAATGTCAGTAAATAACAAGTACTATGAAAAAAATGAAGTAGGTTAAGAGGGATAAAAAATGATGGAGTAACTTCTTTCAGTAATGGCAGGCCAGATAATTTGGACCATCCATTACTGATGTCAGCTGAAAAACACTGTACATATTATATAAATTTATTTCTTAGAATCATCAAAGACCTAACAAGATAAGGGAAACTTATAGGACTGAGATAGTAAAGAAAACTGGAATCCAGGTTGGTAAGCCTGTCACGTAGGGTAATTTTTGCCCTAATGATATTTGCCAGTTCTGAAGAAGCAACAGAAAATGTGCTTTTTGGCAGCATCACAGGACCAGTCACTTTTCCACCATAAGCTTGGACTCTGCAGGGCTGTACCCCAGGAGTAAGGATGAACCAGAAATAAATCCACTTTCTCATAGATTGTATCCTGGGTTTTCAGGCCTTGAACTTGGATTCAGATGCTTTTGGATTGCTGGTATCTCTAGATACCTAGCAAAAGCAAGTGGAAATAATTCTGAGAGGAACAGAATAACATTTTGAGCTTCATATTATTTCTACAAATAACTTTCAAATATAGCATCCAGAAAGCGTTTAAAGATAACTAGACACTGAAGGAGACTGGATACTCTGAGCAAGAACCATCACAAACAATGATTTGAAAAAGAACTAAGTTAAAAAAAATTTAATGAAAAATATATCAAGTACAGTTAAGAATTCTGTAAAGATGGTTATTAGCACATTAGATAAAACTGCTAAGAGAATTAATAAACTGAAGTTGGGTCTGAAATAACTATTTGTAATGAAACAAACAACGAAAAGAAATATGGAGAACAGGGCACAAGGTATAGAGAATATAGTGAGAATGTCCAGCATTTGTATACTTTCACCCAGGAGGAGGGTATAAAAGAGACAAGGGGACAAAACCATACTTGGAGACAAAAACTCCTCTTAAAAGCCACCAAAGGACCAAAAGCACGTTGCCTGTAAAGGACTGAGCGTTAGACTGGCAAATGGCTTCTAAACAGCTACGATGGAAGCCAGGAGACTTGCTAGGACAGTGTATTGTGGTGGGAGAAAATAGCCAGTGAAATATCCTTAAATAATAAAAAATTAAGTAAAGATATTTTCAGGCATTAATAAAAACTGCGTTTGCTACTCGCAGACCCTCTCTAATGGATGTTCTTTGTTGTGGTGGTTAGTTGCTAAGTCATGTCCAACTCTTTGCAACCCTCTGGACTGTAGCCCTCAAGACTCCTCTGTCCATGTGATTTCCCAAGCAAGAATACTAGAGTGGGTTGCCATTTCCTTCTCTGGGGGATCTTCCCAACCCAGGGATCGAACCCACGTCTGCTGCATTGGCAGGCAGATTCTTTACCACTGAGCCACCAAGGAAGCCTGGATATTCTTTAGGCACAAGGAAAATAATCTCAGATGGAAAGAGGATGGTGAAAGATGTAAGAATAAAAAAAGTGAAGATAATGTGGATGGACTCTAATTTGTAGGTGAGTGCAGGGACACTCAGGACCTCAACATAGTTCTGAGATGACCTGGGCCCTAAGAACTCGAGAAACTAACCAACCAAAGTTCCTTCCAAGACAGAAGCCTTCACTCAGGAAAAATCATTAGTGGTAAAGTCTGTATTGAGCAGAACAAGGACATTAAAGGTAAAGGAAAAATAAGTTTTCAGACAGTTGTGGTAGAAGAGAATAGAGGAAGCAGATATTAGAATGTACTAAAGATTTTATATGCACACAGGAGCACAAACCAACCTTCATGCATACATACATATCTAGTGGTAACAGTGAAACATGGGCTTAGCGCATTGAGTCTATGAATGCTGTCCTGGGACAGTCCCACACAGAATTGTTCTCCTACAGGTAACAATCTGAGGAGATAAACCCATCTCAATTAAACATGAGAAACAAAAGAGGATTGTTGATGGAAGTTCTTACAAAGTTATTAGAGGAAAAAAAGATGATTGCTGTAACATTTCTACAGTCAAAAATAGAAAGAAGAAAGATGTAACAACAGAACAGAGGAAAGCTAATATGTTCATCCTTTGCCCTAGAATTCTCACTTCTAGCAATGTAGCTCAAAGGTACACTAAGAAAAGAGTGAAATATTTGTGCAAGATATTCACTGCAGCTCTAAAGTATTTATTGGAAACAGTCCTCATGTCCCTTAATAGGGTATTTATTAAATAAACTGTACATCTTCAGTGGCCTACTATGCAGCTAGTACAGGCACACATTGCTTACTGTGCTTCAGAGATGCTGTTTTGGGTTTTTACAAGTGGTAGGTTTCTGGTAACCCAGCATCAGGCAGGTCACTCATCGCCATTTTCCAACAGCATTTTCTCACTTCATGTCACTGTGACATGTTTTGGTAATTCTCGAGTATTTCAAAATAATTTTATTTGTTATGGTGATCTGTGATTTTTTATGTTACTATTACAGCTTGCTGAAGGCTCAGATGATTGTTAGTACTTTTTAGCAGTGAAGTATTTCATGATTAAGATGTGTGTACTTTTAAAGACATAATATCATTGCACATTTAATAGACTATAATGTAAATATATCTTTATATGCGCTGGGAAACAGAAAATTTGTGTGAGTCACTTTTTTGTGATATTTGTTTTATTGGGATGGTTTAGAACTGAAATATACAATATCTCCAAGGTATGCCTATAAAAAGAATCAGAAAGCTTTAGGTATGCAACTATAATGTGGTATCCAATATATATTAAGTGAAAATGGTCACTCAGATAATTTAGTGACTAAAATTTTATATCATGTTCAGAAAGAATTGCCAAAAAATCTAAAATTTCATTTAATAATCATATTGTTAGTAATGATATTGCTGTTCTTATTTTGAACATATTAGATAGTATGATAAAACACATAAGTACTTATTTTTGTATTAGATACCAAGAATTGTAGCATAGGAGGTACAAATGCCAATCAAAGAAGCAAAAATCTTATAATAATACTGGAATTGTATAAAAAAGATGCTTGAAGGTTTTCCCATTGGCCAGAGATGTGTTACCTTGACTGTCACAAAAAACAACTCTGTGGTACATGGAAACATGAAATATGTTAAAATCCATGAATTAAAAATAATATCTTTTTAAAAGAGTGTTAGTCACCTTCAGAGGATGCTAGTGTGTCAAGTCATTATTCTGAAAACTTTTAAAATTTCAAATATTTGTCTTTTCCAGTACAAACTGTATTTCATGGTAATGCTAGAATTTTACTGTCACCATTTTGCAGCTTCTAAGTGAATGTGAAAATGTTAGTCACTCAGTCAAATTCGACTCTGCAATCCCATGGGCAGTAGCCCACCAGCATTCCTCTGTCCGTGGAAGAATACTTTCTCTAGGGAAGAATACTGGAGTGGGTCGTCATTCCCTTCTCCAGGGGATCTTCCTGACCCAGGGATTGAACGCGGGTCTCCTGTATTGCAGGCATATTCTTTACCTTCTGAGCCACCAGAGAAGACCTTGCAACTCCTAATGAAATAGTAAATCTAGGCAGTGATCACCATCAATGACTGCTAAAATCATTAAAAGATCAGTAAAGAATTTTGATAGAATAGGTTGTTGACACTTGATGAAGCAACGGAACAATTGTAGTATCACAAGAAAAAAGATAACAAAACATCATTAGCCTCCTGATTGAAGTGGGAGGTATACATTACCACATACAGCATTCGAAGGTTTTTTTTAAATGTGCCTGAATCTGATCAAGCTACTAGATCATTTAATAGGAAATGTAGGGGAAGCATGTGTTAAATGATATCATAGAGATGCAAAATCCAGAATATGGAAAATTCCACAGAATAACTGATCTAGTTTCTTCTACAAATATCTGGTGGATATGGGAATTGGAAGAGCGTAAGGGAGAGGTTTTTGACAAAGAAAATTGAGAGGAATCAACCAAATGTAGAGTTAGGATCTTAGTGGGATCCTTATTGCAGTAAACAGTTGTAAAAAGAAATGTATCTATCAGACTAGAAAATTTTAACACTGATTAGGTATTTCATGACATTAAGGAAGTGTTAATTTTATTGATATAATTAATATGTTTAACAGAAGAATCCTTTTATAAGCACATATTTACAGGTAAATACCATTTTTAATTTTACCCAAATTTGTTCTGTCAGGGGTGAGAGCATTGTTTTTCAGTTCATTAATCTTGGTTTTATATTTATGAAATTTTATTATTTTGAATATATTATTCTTTACCTATTTCTTGAAAAGGCTATGAATGATACTTCTGATTTTTAATATTCACTCTTCTCATTTTTGTTACTTGTTAAATAATCAGTAATTATCACTCTAATTTCTTCTTTTATCTAGCAGTGTGGGCAGTTTTAAATTTCCAAGTGCTTGCATTTATTATTGTTTGTTGACTTTTTCCTTAATGATTTCTAATTTTATTTCCTTCTAAGCAGTCAGACCTTAGTAGATTCTGGTTTGTACTCTATTGATATTTTCTTTTGTATTAATTTGTAGTCCGTCTTTGGAAATACCGCTTCGATCCTTGGGCAGGGAAAGGTATATCTTTGTAGTCTATGTGTATGTTTTCAGTCATTCACGTATCTGATTCAGTTATTAAATATTCATACTTTCTACATCCCTTTACTTACTTTGAAACAGTGTATCATTGACCAAGTACAGTTGTTTCTTTCAAATTTTTCTTTTATTTTTCAGTTTTGACAATTTTATTTGGCATGTCACAAATCATTATCTATTCATTGTGGATTTTATCTTTTTTCTTTTAGGTTTTTTTTTTTTAAATTCAGTCGAGCCATGTGGCTTGTGGAATGTTAGTTCTCTGACCAGGGATTGAACCCATGCCCTTGGCAGTGGTAGTACAGAGTCTTAACCCCTGGACTGTCCAGGAATTTCCTGGACTTCAACTTTTTTTCAACATAGGATTCCTTTTTCTATCCAATGCTTTTTGCATTGACTTTTCTCTAACACTTAATATTGTTAGTCCTTCTTTCTTTATTTGTTGATGTCATGTCCCATTGTTTCTCCTTGAACCTTTTTGTGTAAGAATGCCTCATGTAAACAGTGTATAGCTTTATTTTATTTTTTTACTAAATGTGGTATTGTTTAGTGACAAACTACTATGATTGACTATACCAAGAAATTTTCTATGTATAATTGCATTTTTAATGCTTAGAACAAACCTAAGATGATGACCCTTTTATCATTATTTTACTGATGAGGAAATTGAGTTTCAGAGAGGTAATTTACACAGATCTCTCTTACTCACTGCCTGAGGCTGTCAGAATATTTTTCTCTCAAATCCTAAGCTATAAGACAATTTCATGGTGTTTATCTAAAATACTCTGCCAGACTGAGGAGAGATTTTGCTACTTGACAAGACAATTTATTCCTGAATAAATTAAAACTGTCTGGAGTTCTTCCATGACTAAAACAGTACGTAAAAGACTATAACCTTCAATGGCTTCATGTCCCAAGATACAGTAAAAGCATTTCCTATCCATTTTTCCTCATACTGCTGAGAGCTGTTTTCCCTGAGTGGATGTGTGAAGAAAGGTACTGATTGATGTTAGAGGCTGGTGACTCTCCCACAGTTGCATTCTACAGTTCCACAGTTGCAGTTTCCTTGGAGTGGCAAGAGGCTTTCCTCCTGGTCACCTGAGTCCCTGCACGAGCATATAAAGTGGGTGTGAAGGGAAATCCACTGCCTTCCTGTTTGGCCTCACATTTCTTCTTTGAGGTCCTACCTGTTTTTGATTAGTGGGAATACCTCTTGAGATGTAGTAGTTCACAAGTATTTCCCGTTTCCTATGGTATAGCAACTTGGAAAATTTTTCTGTGTTTCGTCAGCATTTTATTGGGAAGATAAGGGTAATAGTTGCTAATACTTTGTCAAAGCAAGAACCTTTCAAAGCCATTCGACTTTTCTTTCTCCTTTTAAAGAGTATGAACTATATTTGTGATGGGTCACTGATAGGTGAGGGGTGGCCTAGAATTGTTGCTAATAGTTTGCCAATATATTTTCTTAAGATATCTTATGAAGTTAATGAGTGCCGAAAAATTGAGACCAGAGAAAATTTGGATCTGGAGTTTGATGATGATGTCACAGAACTTGAAACTTTTGCAGCAACCACCACCAAACCATCAAAGTCACCAAGTCCAGCAAGTACCTCCACAGTACCCACCATGACAGATACACTCAGAGCCCCCAGCATAGCAGACACATCTGAGGCACCAACTTCACCAGACATTTCTTCTCATTCTAGAAGTTTATCTCAGATTCTGATGGAACAGTTGCAGAAGGAGAAACAGCTGGTGACTGGTATGATAGACAGTGGCCCTGAAGAGTCCAAAAATAAAGATGATCAGAGAGTTATACCATGTGGTGAAAAGGTATCAAATTCTGACAAGTCTTTGGTGCAAGATAGTGACTTAAAAACATCTGATCCCTTACAATTAGAAAGTTCTATGGAAATCGAAACCTCTAATAAAAATGATATGGCCACTGAAATGGAGAGTGTTGATGAAAGAGTAAATGTTCTAGAGAATACGGACAATAATTCAAAGGAAAAGACTGTTACATCAGAAGCAGCTAATGCTGAAGATGTAGTTCTTGACAGTAGTGATACAGATGAAGACTGTTTAATCATTGATATGGAGTGTCAAAATAATAGTAATGGAAAGACAGCTGAAGTGGGTTCTAATTTAAGTTCTAAACCAGCTAGCCTAAATTCTTCCTCAGGACAGACTTCTGCAGGAAACCAGACCAATAGTACTTGTAGTCCTGAAGAGTCATGTGTTTTAAAAAAACCGATCAAACGAGTATATAAAAAATTTGATCCAGTTGGAGAAATTTTAAAAATGCAGGATGAACTCTTAAAACCAATTTCCAGAAAAATACCTGAATTGCCCTTAATGAATTCAGAAAATTCTAAACAGCCTCCTCTTTCTGAGCAACCCTCTGCTCCGTCAGATGCCTCTAGCTGGTCGAAGTCTATCTGGCCTTCTGCCTTTCAGAAGCCAAAAGGACGTAAGTAAATATTTACAAAGAATTTTATATTAACTGCTTTGCCTGTTCCTTATCCTTAGGTTATTTCCCCCTCATTCCCTTCCTTTCTCTTTGTAATAACGTTTATGATCTTTACATAGTCACTGATGGTTCATTTTGATTGGAAAATGAACTCTCATTGACTGTGTAAAACCCTTCACTCCAAAAATGCACTGACAGTTGTATGGATTTTTGTAATCTATGTTTATTCAACATTTACAATGGCCAATAAGCTATAGATAATATGGTTTGCTGAAATGATGAAGGGGAAGTGTGTCAAAAATCATGATAAATATGTATTAATATAAATTTACTTATTTTTGGTGTTAGACTGCAGTTTTGTACTTTTTCATTTTGTAAAATAGATATTAGGCTGCACCTCAGGTCTGTCTCTATTATGAATAACACTACTTTTTAAAACTTTTCTTCTTTTTACTTCGTATGTTGTCTCACTGATATATTTGTCAGTGAGGGTAGTAGGGTAAAAGGAAGAGAACCTTAAAGCTTTGATTTCAGCTCTTGCTGAAGTTGCAGTTAAAGTAAACAAATGCTAATAGTGTAATGGTCAGAGGAAATAGAAAGCTGGTAGTTCAGTAGTTTTATCTTGGATTATGATGGATAAAGGGCTAATGTAGTTTAAAAAAATAATGAATATAATTATCTTTAAAGGATTGCCATATGAACTTCAGGACTATGTTGAAGATACATCAGAATATGTAGCTCCTCAGGAAGGAAATTTTGTTTATAAGCTGTTTAGCCTGCAAGACCTGTTGCTACTTGTGCGATGCAGCGTCCAGAGAATAGAGACCAGACCACGTTCTAAGAAACGGAAGAAAATCAGAAGAGTAAGTTGTTACTTGGGGAGTTAAGATATCATAGCATAAGTAGGTGGGCAGCAAATATTGAGCATGCCATTGTGATGAAGTTTGATTTTAAGTTATTGATTATTCTTACAGTAGTTTTTTCAGGTTGAGATTTTTTAGTAAAATACTGAAAACACTTTTAATAAAGTTTAGTTGAATGTAACAGTCATGAGTGCTGATAATATTCTTGCGTGGACTATATATAAACCTTGTGAAAATCGGCACCATTATAGACTTGACCTAGACTGGCATATATGTTCCAGCTCTCTCTGTGAATTTGGATTTTCCTTTATTGGCCCCTTCCTTTCTTTGAGAATCTTTTTGAGTTATTTTAGAACTTTGCATTTTGAAAGGTGGGCTTTCATGCACATTTGAAGATGTCTTGCCAGGCTTGATAGAAGATTAAATGTCTTCTTTTCTTTTTCCTCTGTTGTTTCTTTGGGGCTTTGGTATAAATATTTTCCTTAGTTAAAGTTTTTGCTACAGTTTGAGTAATTGGTTCTTTTTGCAGTTTGTTATATTTGATATTTTAAGTTCTCTTTGAGGTTAGTTTGATTTTTGTGTGTGTAACCAATGAATTTAGGTAAAGAAAGAGGAGCTTTTATGCTATAAATGATTATGTAAGAAATAAGTCTCTCCTTTATTTCCTAATAAGATTTTTTCTGTTTTGTCCATTTTATCATAGTTCACTTTTTCTTCCTTTCTTTTCCTTTCCTTTTGTCTTCCTTCCTTTCTTCTTACCTTCCCCCCTCCTTTCCTCCTCCTGCTTTCCTTTCTTCCCTTCTTTTGTCCCTCCCTCCCTCCCTTTTTATTTTATTATTTTTTTAATGTTTTTGGCCATCCTGTGAGGCATTTGGGTTGTTAGTTCCCCAACCAGGGATTGAACCCACACCCCCTACATTGGAAGTCCCAGTTCCTTCCTTTTTTGATGTTCTCTGTTTCTTGCTATTTAACCTGCCACCCATTAAGAATCATGAGTGATCACTGTAGAATGTCAGTGTGTTTGGGGCTAAGAAACTGTGATGTTCCAGCATTGACCCTTGTGGATCAAGTCCCTGACTACTACTTTTATCATATTAAGGTGTAACTGAATTTAAAAAAGAATAAGAAGAAAAGAAAAGTTCTCATAATTGGTATTCATCACTGGTTCAGACTTGAAATTTTAGAAACCATCTGGTTTTGAATGAAACATATGGTAGAGAGTTTTTTAAAAGAGAACATTAGGGAATGACAAAATGCTATAGGTCTGATTTTAGTCTCCTTTTCTATAAATACAAGTAGTCTCTGTATTAGAAGATTTTATTTCCTAATTTTTTCCTGTCTCATCAGTACTTAACTGTGATTAAGTTCATGGCCATAGCATGCACATCTTAAATACATATAGTGTCAGTGCTTTGGATTGTATTTTCAAGATTTTATCTTATTCATTCTTACCTGCTATCTGGATTATTTGGAGGCTAACATCATTTCTGTGAGCCCATAACACTGTGTATTGATCTACCAGCTTATAACACTTAGAAATTACTGATGGGCAGGATCTCTTAAGTAAGCCTAGGAATATATTGGACCCTGATTTAGTTGTTCAATGAGATAAGCTCTTAAGGACATTGTCATTCACTTGACCACAGTGAAATTTGTAAAACTTTTTAGAAGAGTATTCACTCTTAATCAGAATATATCAAAACCACCAAGTCCCAAAGAATAGCTAAATAGGAGCCTTCTGTTTCTGATTATGTCAGACCCTTAGTATAATTTTAAAATTTTCAGCAAATACTTATTTTATCTATTATTATATGTAATAGTTTAATACACATACTTTAAATTTCCTTAGTAGAATATGTTCCCTTTGGAATCATCTCCTAGTCATCTGTATTTCTCAAATGTTTTGTTCCATAGAAACTCAATAAATAAATATTGAATAAGTGAGAAAAAATTGAGGCATGAGGAGAGAGGAGGGTGTTAGGGAAGGGAAATTGAGGCATTAGTTGAAATTTTGAAGTGGTAATGTTTAAACTCCAATTAGGTAAGAATACATCCTCATTAACATTTCCTCCTTAAAAACCTACTGGTTTAGATCAAGTTTTAAAACACTCAGAAGTCTCTTCAACTTCTTCAGCTTCTATCCAAGAACCTCATTTCTTCTTTTTGTTTTCCTTTGGTTCTTCAGTTCTCTGTTACTGTAGTTGAGATTTTAGTTTCCAGTATCATTTATTTTTTTCTCATCAAGATTCTGCTTAATCTCGTACAACAGAGGAGAACCTAGAACAGCAGCCACTCTCAATTGATGAAAAAGAGGCTAATTTGGAACACAAGATGAAGCTAGAACTTACTCAGTTCTACATGTAGTTATGAAATCCAGACCAAATGCCTCTAAGTGATTTAATATTATCTTATTGTCTGTCTCAGTTAACCAAATTTCCTTTGAGTTATATTCTGAAGTGATTAAAAAACTTAGTCCAGTTATCTTGAAGTTTATATTGGCATTCTTAGTCCAGAGAAAAGTATCCTGAAGGTGCTTGAATCTTAGGAAACAACAGAAATGTACCTATTGGGATAAGAGCTATGTCACTATCCTAGTGACAGGATACTAGCCATGAAATATTTCAGAATGTATGGAAAAATTTGAAAGGTTTACAAAGGTTGAAAGAAGACCAAGAGAAGCTTTTACTTAGAAGTAAACAATTAAGAGATAAAACGGTAAGTTTAATTTAATTTCACTTTAATTTTGGAGTACTGAGATAAAATATTCAGACTTTTCCTTCCCTTGGCTTCCTGGAGATGGCAGTAGAATACATAAATTAATACCAGATTCAAGACTTAGTTTTATAGATATGACAGTATTATCAAAGAAAATTCCCCAGAGTACTTTCTTCAGAAAGAGTAATGTTTTTTAATTTGAAAAGAAATCTTGAGTTAATTCTATTACCTATTCATGATCCAAAAGAGGATCTTCTTTCTCAATTATTCGTTTTCCAACTCTGCTGGGAACTGGTGATGTGTCCTTGAGCATGTATCTTAACCCTTTGAGCCTTCATTTCTTTATCTCTGGGTTTTATTTGCAACTATAAGCAACGATAAATGCAGATTACCAATTGCTGAAGAATTATTATACAATTAAGTGATTTTAGCAAGGCAGCCCACTCCAATATTCTTGCCTGGAGAATCCCACGGACACAGGAGCCTTGCAGGTTAGAGTCTATAGGGCCGCAAAAAGTCAGCCACAACTGAAGCGACTTAGCACACAGCAATAATATTATCCTAATCATAATTTTTTTTTAAATTAAGGCAACACTATAGGGAGCTTACTACTCAAACTTTGGGCCCAGAAACAACGGCTTGTTAAACATGTATAGCTTGGTTTTCACTTCAGATTCCACATTTATTTTAAAATAGTTATTCACATGCACATTGAAATTAAAGAAGCACTGCTATTGTAAAACTATTATTAGTTTTACAATATTCAAAGGTAATAATGAACCAAAGTTATTGTTCATAGACATTTTCCTGGATTTGAATTATTCTTAACACTACCATTATGTTAGGCCCACTAAATTCACCAGTTAGTGAAAATCGGTCATTCTGAATCATTTATGAAGTAGTTTCAAGTATAAAAGTGAAAGACAGCTTAGTATAATTTCAGAAGTTGTTGTTCAGTTGCTAAGTCATGTCTGATTCTTTGCAACCCTATGGACTGTAGCCCACCAGGCTCTTCTGTCCATAGGATTTCCCAAGCAAGAATAGTGGAGTGGATTACCATTTCCTCCTCCAGGGAATCCTCCTGACCCAGGAATCAAACCTGCATTGCCTGCATCTCCTGTGTTGGCAGGTGGATTCTTAACCACTGAGCCACCTGGGAAGCCCAATCTCACAAGTACTAACTGGCTATATAAGTTCCTTCAATCATGTGTTTTTCCCTCTGCAGCTAGAAATGAAGAGACTGCTATTAAGATTAGAATTTTCTTTGACAGAAATGAGTTAATATGAGCACAGTGAACATGACTAGCATTATATTATTTTACAGGCATGGATTTCCTTACATCTCATTTAGACTAGTACAAGTATAGTCATTTTGCTTAATCTGTACAGTCCTGACCAATAAATGCTAAATGGCTAATTTGTCAAGTACGTAGTGTCTGGAATAAAGTCTTTTGTATTAATGAAGAGAGCAACATCCATGTGTATTAATGTAAGTATTAGTGCTCATACATTCGTAGAATGAAAACAAGCTGCTCAGGGTATTTAAGCCTGAGACAATGTGACTAATGGTTTAAATGGGCAAAAAAAATCATACTTTTTTTTAACCCTCTTGAGAATTATTAGTATGTATTACAGTCATGGTTTCCCAGCTTCTAGTTTTGAACCTTTGGGCAATTTATGTAACCCAGGCTTTATTCCAAGAATTCTGTCAGTCATGTTCAGTGACAGAAATAAAATATGTTTATGTATGAAGAGGTATGATTGAAGGTATGTATGAAGAGGTATGAAGAGGTTGATTTTGGTTGGGGGTAGGGGAGGCTCTCGGAGAAGGCAGTGGCACCCCACTCCAGTACTCTTGCCTGGAAAATCCCATGGATGGAGGAGCCTGGTGGGCTGCGGTCCATGGGGTCGCCAAGAGCTGGACACGACTGAGCGACTTCACTTTCACTTTTCACTTTCACACATTGGAGAAGGAGAGAGATGGCAACCCACTCCAGTGTTCTTGCCTGGAGAATCCCAGGGACGGGGGAGCCTGGTGGGCTGCCGTCTGTGGGGTCGCACAGAGTCGGACACGACTGAAGTGACGCAGCAGCAGCAGCAGCGGGGGAGGCTCTTGGTTCACAATCTCTTTTTCATCCACCGCTGCCCATGTCTACTAAGGGTTCTACCCATATTTCTGCCTGCATCCAACTGTATTTGAAAGGATGAAATAAAGATTACCTGAAAGCATTTTGAAAAGTGGTAAACTTATATAGGCAAATGTATTTACTGTTAATGGTAAATTAATAAAGCTTTATAAGAGTATAACCTTGAATTGCAGCAATTTCCAGTGTATGTACTACCAAAAGTGGAGTATCAAGCTTGTTATGGAGTTGAAGCTCTGACTGAAAGTGAACTCTGTCGCTTATGGACTGAAAGTTTATTGCATTCCAACTCCTCATTTTATGTTGGTAAGTTAAACAAGAGGCTTTGTTCTCCTTTTTAATTTCTTTGTAAATATACACAGTTTAATTCATCTGTAAATTCTGTACTTTTAATTTTCAGTTTTCTGATTGTATTAGTATTTCTTTCTATTAAAACATTTCTACTGCTGAGTTAAATAGCAGAGTGTGAGTAGTGATTATCATATGTTTTGATTTCTCTCTTAATCCCTTATTAGTTGTATATGAATCTCAGTGTAGTCATTTTATTTTTAAAATATTTAGGAGTGTAATGAAAAAATATAGATGTGTTTTCTAACAAGCTTCTTTTTAAAGTAATGTATAATTGATTTTAAAATATATTTTTTGAAATTTTCTTAAATTTATGATTTTATTTTTTAAATCTCACATATTATCTTGATGAAATAGTTTATTTACTTTGTTTTTTGTTAGGGGAATAGTTAGGCAGGATCTTTGTGTTGACTGGGTTCATGTACAGTTAACATACTTCATACAAAGGATTACTTGATAATCATTATTGATATTGTTCCATTCCATTGGAATGCTTACTCCTATACTTCTCAATTCATCCCTTATATTTCACTGCATGCCAGCCATCTCAAGCTGCCCTTCCTTCATGTGATTTCCTTCTTTTGATATCTCAATGCATTGCCTTTTTTTAACCACTTTTACAGTTTGTTGCTTTCTACTTAATTGTTTTTTTAAAGCCTGTCCTATCTTCCCATTGGGCTTCTCTTGTGGCTCAACTGATAAAGAATCCACCTGCAATGCAGGAAACCCGGGTTCCATCCCTGGGTTGGGAAGATCCCCTGGAGAAGGGAAGGGTTACCCACCCCTGTATTCTGGCCTAGAGAATTCCATGGATTGTATAGTCCACAGGGTTGCAAAGAGTCAGACACGACTGAGCGACTTTCACTTCACTATCTTGCCAGTAGACAATAACTGATTTAAAGTCAGAGTCTGATGAAACTTTATATTCTTGTAGTACTTAGCATAATTTCTGGTATGTAATTAAGTGTTTATCAGTGTGCTTTTCTTGGCTGATCCAAAAATAGGTCACTCACTTGAAAACCTTTTCTGTATTTTGTTAATCAATAATTTGTCTTCATGTTTGATGAGAGTGTTAATAAGATCATTGATTCACTCTCTCTACTTAACCCCAAAAGGAAGTAGCTAAAGATTGTTGGTGCTCTAGCCTCTTTCTGCCTCTTCATACACACTGCCAGAAGTTTGTTTTAGTAGTTTTCAGTCAACAACCACAATTTCAGTGTTCCTCCAAAGACCTGTTGCCATGAAACCCACTAAGTCTTCATGTAAACTACTTGAAAACAATTTTCAGCCACGTCTGTGTTAGGAGGGGACCAAACAAAAACTTACTATTGAAATCCTTTTTAAGTACTAACAAAGAATAGACGTTCTTGACTTAAACATTTAAGTTTTTTCTTTAATGTAAAGTTTAACAAACCAAACTACCGTCATTTATATCTATGTGATTTACTTCATCAAAACTGCAATGGTCACCCCTTAATTGCAGTTATACTCTGTGGCTTCAGTTATCTTCAACTAGTCAACCGTGGTCTGAAATAGTAAATGAAAGATTCCAGAAATAAGCAAATCGTAAGTTTTAAAAAGCACACCAAAAAAAAATAAATAAAAAGTACACCATTTTGTATCGTGCCTGGGATGTGAATCACCCCTTTTCTAGTCTCTCCAGCCCATTAGTCACTTTGTAGTATCCCAGCTATCAGTGCTTATCTTCAAGTAACCCTTTTTTTACTTAACAGCCCCAAAGTGCAAGAGTATGTGATGCTGGCAATTTAGATATGCTTAGGAGAAACTGCAGACTGCTTCCTTTAAGTGAAAAGGTGAAAGTTTTCAGCTTCCTTTTCTTAATTAGGAAAGAAAATTTATATGCTGTGTGGCAAAGATCTGTGGTCAGAATGAATCTTCTATCTTGAAGTTATGAAGGATAAAGAATGTGTTTGTTTTACCTTCAAACTGCAAAACAAACCTCAAACTGCAAAGGTTATTGTCACAGAGCAGATAAATATTAGTTAAAATGGAAAAGGCATTCAATTTGTAAGATATTTTGAGAGAGAGGGAGGGAGAGACACACCACATTCAGAAATCTTTTATTATAGTATATTGTTAAAATTGGTCTATCTTATAATTAGTTATCGTTAAACTCTTACTGTGCATAATTTATACATTAAACTTAATAGGTATGTATGTGTAGAAAAAAACAGTATATGTAAAGTTTGGTACTATCAGTTGTAGGCATCTACTGGAAGGCTGTTAGATTGTGTCACCTGTGGATAAGGGGGGACTACTGTACTCTGTAAAGTCATAAGTAATCATTGCCTTACGTGCTGTTTATCTTCAGTGAATCCTATCTACTGATAGGCCATTCATTTTGATGTAATGAAGTGGTGTATTTAGTGTCTTTGCCAACTGTTTGGTGAAAAACTTATGCTGTATTCTTATATGGTGTGTTTGCTTTGTTTGGGTTTTTTGTTTTTTATGTGGGGGTGAATGTTCCAAAATACTATTTTAAAACCATCTGTTAGTTTTGAGGTTTTTTTACATTTTTATTTTATTACTCTTCTAATTTAAGAGAAATGTTGCAACAGGCAGGGAGTTGAGGAGAATGGACTCCTAAATAAGGTTTTGCTGCAGTTACTTTCAGGAAATAAGATAAAAACAGAAAGTAATAGTCAGTTTGTCCTCGTGGTGTCTGGAATGACTGAATATAATTAAAAGAAGTTATATATCAGGTATGACTCTAAAGTACCACATGTGGCTCATTACTTAGGCTCTTTATTTTGTAGTTCTACCTTACATTGTGTAGACTTAGTGGTTTTAGTTTTAAAGAAGAGTCCTATCTACAGATGGTCAAGAGGTAAAAGATGTATACAAAATATTATTTAGTACGTCTCTCTTCAGAATTATTTATTATTTCCCTTTGACATCTAAATAAAGGCTAATTGAACCAATATTCAATTTTTACCTGTATGATGCTTTGCTAGGTATGAGTTACAGTATACACTTCATGTCAAATAGATGGGGAAAAAATGAAAACAGTGACAGATTTCATTTTCTTGGGCTCCAAAATCACTGCAGCCACAAAATTGAAAGACACCTGCTCCTTGGAAGAAAAGCTATGACAAACCTAGACAGCATATTAAAAAGCAGAGACATCACTTTGTCAACAAAGGTCTTTAAAGTCAAAGCTGCTGTTTTTCTAGTAGTCATGTACATATATGAGAGTTGGATCATAAAGAAGGCTGAGTGCTGAAGAATTGATGCTTGGAACTGTGATGTCAGAAAAGACTCTTGAGAGTCCCTTGGACTGCACGGAGATCAAACCAGTCAATCCTAAAGGAAATCAACCCTGAATATTCATTGGAAGGACTGATGCTGGGAAAAATTTAGGACAAGAGAAGAGGGTGACAGAGGATGATATGGTTGGCATCACTGATTCAGTGGACATGAGTCTGAGCAAACTCCAGCAGGTAGTGAAGGACAAGGAAGCCTGGCATGCTGCAGTTCATGGGGTCACAAAGCGCTGGACTTGACTTAGCAACTGAACAATACACTTGAAATTAGTAATGTCTTTCTTTTCAGGTGTTCTGTTTTTTATTCTGTGTGTCAGTCTTCCTGTACTTTTATGGTCCTTTTAGTTTCTGCTCCTCTTAGGCTCCCATTGTAACAGCTCTTAGGGTATTGCTGTGTATTTTGTTTTGTTCTCTCCTTTCACTTCCTTATGTATCTACCACTCTCAAACCAAATTATAATATAATACACTTGAAATACTCCAAAATTTTCCTTAGAAACTGTATATGTGTGTGTATATATACATGTATTTGTGTATTTTTCTATATATAAAGTTAATACAGCAGTATTTCTAATTGTCATTAATGAAGTGTGTGATGGAGGTCAAGGACTACTAATCCATTATTACTGATCCTCACTATTCTGTAAAATAAGTGTTGTCTTTGTTTTACAGATGAGAAAACTGAGGCTTATAGAGTTCATTGCTCAAGATTACAATTTGTGGGAAATCTGGGATTTATATCCATGTGTTTTCTGATTCCACAGCCTGTGCTTTTCCATTATAATGGAATGTAGAAATCATGCTGAATGTGTGAGTCAGAGATATGTATATGAGTACTTCATACTTTACAATTTTCTTTTTACTTTGGGTAAAATCACTTAAACTTGTGAGTCCTCAGCTTTTTCATCTGTAGATAATGGACATAATAATATTTTGTTCAAGGAATTCTCTGGCAGTCCAGTGGTTACAACTCAGTGCTTTTACTGCCATGGCCCTGTGTTCAATTCCTGATTGAGGAAAAGATACCGCAAGCCACACAGTGCAGTCAAAAAGTAATAATAATATTTTGTTGAATCTACCTCAGGGACTCTATACACAAATCCTTTTCTTAAAACGATTATGTAATTTTTGTTGTTGTTCAATTGCTCAGTCATGTCTGACTCTTTGTGACCCCATGGACTGCAGCATGCCAGATTTCCCTGTCCTTTGTAATGTAATGCCCTAAAAGTACACTTCTCCTTAATGAAAATAAATACCACAAGACAATGAAGTTATAATTCATATATTTTTGTACTGAGAAAAAAAATAGCTATTAACCTAAAATTTAGATAAAAATATGAGAGTAAAAGAGGATTTCTTAACCAAAGATTAAAAGTAGGCTAAAACAAAACAACAAAAAACTGAGAACTTCTCTGTATTTATGCATAACTTTCAAAAAGATCTACATAGTACTACTTCTGTCCTAAAATATTGTCAGTAACATATACCTTTGCTTTGATAATATTTTTCTTTCCTATATGTTATTTTTTAAGTATAACATACAGTCAGAATAGTGAAAAGAAAAGAACCTCCCAGGTGGTAAAAGAACGCACCTGCCAATGCAGGAGAAAAGTGAAAAATGTACAGCTCAAGGAATTACGTAACAAAGTCTGCACCTCTATAACTCACACCCAGA